CAAAAATGAAGTGCAGGGAGGAGCAAGAAGAAAGCCAAAGGAGAAATGGATTCGGGAGGAAGCGTGTTTGGATGGTTTGAGGCGGCTCTTGCTATTCCCACGCGGGAGGAACACATGTGGGCCCGTTCCCACTCCTGTTACACAGCAGCATTTGCACCCAGTAAGCTCTCCCGTCGAATCTCTGGTCTCGGGGACCAATATTCTGCTCATCATTTTAGGGCTTCAACTGGGGGGAAATGGGTGTTTATGGAGGAGGGTTATATAGACATTATGTTCACGTAATGAAAAAAAAATCAGATGGAAAGTTTAATTTATCCATTGAGAAACCTCGCTAACGTCTTTTTCAACTAACCCCCCAAGGGTTTCACTTTTATTTCCTGTGCATCCGTGTCAATGTTTGTTATAAAGGGTGTCCCAAAATTCACGCAAGATTTGAATTTTGCGTGAGCATTAACAACAACAACAAAAAAGCCTAATTTTACTTGGTTTGTTGAATCAGATTCTAATTATCTGTTGCCCTTTGATTTCAATCCCTTCAACTTGATAAGCATCACCAAGTACCAGTGATGGCCCAGGAGCAGGGACAATGAAGACCACGGCTTTGCATATGTGCCAGCAAAGCCGTGGAGGCCATTTACCCGATGCGCTATTCCATACATAACCCTAGACTGTGTCCTTTATAAATCAATAAAAAATTTACAATTTTTAATTATAAACCTGTGTCTTCTATCAAAATTACCTCTTGCGTGAATTTTGGGACACCCTATAAAAACTCTAGCAAACATCTCTGCTTCCTGTTCCGCACCATGCAGTACCCCTTTGCACCCACCAGAGGGCGCACTTCTTGCTCCCCGGTTTATGTCTGCAGGTGCTTCCTTCTTTGAAGGGTGCTCCCTCATTTATTTCTCTCTTCCTCTATAAATGGACGCTTGGACATAATCTTTTACTGTCACAAACAACGTAGCAAAGGACAAATAACCTTGCCCAAGTGTCATTTTGTGCTGGTAAGGCTGGAGGGAAATTCCCAGAAGCAGGATGGCTGGGTCCAAGGTAAATTCACTTGTTGACGGTCATATTCCCCGTCAGGGCATGTGCCCGGGTTGCGGGCTCGATCCCCAATAGGGGGCCTGGAGGAAGCAGCTGATCCATGATTCTCTCTCATCATTGATGTTTCTCTTTCTCCCTTCCTCTCTGAGATCAATACAAAGGTATGTTTTAAAAAATAAACGCATTTTAAGCACACACAAGGACAAAGTACCTTGAAATGCTATATTGAGCTACAGTGGATGTGTGTATGTGCATGTGCTTATGTAACTGCCACTCAATAGAGTTCGAGTTGCCAGCGTGTATGGGTGGTGGTCGGAGGCAGCTGATCCATGATTCTCTCTCATCATTGATGTTTCTCTTTCTCCCTTCCTCTCTGAGATCAATACAAAGGTATGTTTTAAAAAATAAACGCATTTTAAGCACACACAAGGACAAAGTACCTTGAAATGCTATATTGAGCTACAGTGGATGTGTGTATGTGCATGTGCACAGTGTGACGGATGGCTTATGTAACTGCCCCTCAATAGAGTTCGAGTTGCCAGCGTGTATGGGTGGTGGTCTCTCATTTCAGTTCCTAGTATATTGCTCTATGGCCCCCTTCTTTCTAGCCTGGCTGGTCCCTACGTCCCTGGAACCACCGTGCCATCCACCTCACCTCGCTCGCCTAGAACCCTAGTTATTTCAGTGAACGACTGCTCGGAACAGCTGCTCTGGTGCTGTTGGCAAACACAGGACAAAGGCAGCATCCAGAACTCCCTCACTGCCCATGAGAGGCTGTGATTGGCCCAGGTTCGTCCCTTTTCTTTTGTTTGTTTAATCCTCACCCGAGGATATTTTTCCATTGATTTTTATTTAACAATTTATTTTTTAAATTTATTGACTTCGGAGAGGAAGAGAGGGAGAGACAGAAACATCAATGCTAAGAGAAAATCATACACCGGCTGCCTCCAGCATGCCCCCTACTGGGGATCGAGCCTGCAACCTGGGCATGTGCCCTTGGCTGGAATCGAACCTGGGACCCTTCAGTCCGCAGGTCAACGCTCTATCCACTGAGCCACACCAGGTAGGGCCCCATTGATTTTTAAACACAGAGGCAGGGAGGGGGAGAGACAGAGAAAAACAGCCATCGGTTGCCTCCTTCCCTCCCCCCAACCAGAGCTGGGGATCAAGCCTACAACTGAGGTACGTGCCCTTGACCGGAATCGAACCTGGGCCCTTTCAGTCCAAGGGCTGAAGCTCTACCCACTGAGCAACACCAGCCAGGCCCCCAGTTTGTCCTTTACAGCCCTACCCTCGCTGGAGCCTCAAGGTGGGGGTGTGCATCTCCCGGCCTTTGATCTGGGGTGGCCTTGGCGGCTGCCTCTGGTCAATGGCAAGAGGCATTGTGTCAGCGGCGAGCACAGGCCTAAGACACGATGCTCTACCCACTGAGCCACACCAGCCAGGGCCCCAGTTTGTCCTTTACAGCCCTGCCCTCGCTGTAGCCTCAGGTGGGGGCGTGCATCTCCCGGCCTTTGATCTGGGGCGGCCCTGGCGGCTGCCTCTGGTCAATGGCAAGAGGCATGTGTCAGCGGCGAGCACAGGCCTAAGAAACCCAGTCATTCCCGCTGTGCGTGGCGTCAACCAGCTCGTGAGGAGAAAGAACAGCTGAGAGCAAACAGCGCCTGCCGTCACCACCCAGTTTTATTAAAGTTTAAACATCCAAACATTTTAGAGGACGGAGGCCTACTCAGAAACAAGGCCGCCAGCGTTTCCAGCTTAAAGGCGCACACACACACACACACACACACACACTCTGCGCGCACAGTCCAGGCAGCAGGAGTCTCTATTTTTACGGTGAGAATCAGGCGCTGAGATCTCAGAATGTGTATCAGAAACGACTGCAGCAGTCGGAGCCCTTCAGCGAAGCTCGACACCGTAATTCCACGTTCAAGGCAGGACTTGTCCCGACAGGGCACCCCGCCCAGCAGCCCCTGCCCGAGGCGCTTCCGGTCAGAGACCAGCTGTCGCCCGCAGGGACCGAAAGGGGCGGTCAGATCCCAAAGGAAAAGATGGCAAAGTGTCTGTTTCACGGCGGACATCCTTAAGCGAGACGGGAACAAGTAATGCCTGGGTTCGGACCTCACAACCCCCAGGGGCCCCAGGACACCCCGTGAGAACCAGCGTCTCCTGAAAGGCTACTCGCCTTTAGCTTCAGCTCCAACAGCCCTTCCAGCCGCCCGCCCAGCTAGGGGCCTGTCACAGTGTAGCCAACCTGGCAGCGCCCACCACTTGAGTCTCCACTTGACACCCCGTGCCCAACCCGCCCGACAGAGCTGGCACTCAGGTACCAGAGTACCTGGTGCTAAGTGCTACCTGTAAGCACCTTACGTAGTCCTCCCACAGGCCTTTGAGCCCTGGCCGGTGTGACTCAGTGGCTAGAGCACCAGCCTGCGGACTGGAGGGTCCTGGGTTCAATTCCGGTCAAGGGCGTGACCTTAGTTGCAGGCTCCATGCTCAGCCCGGGCCCTAGTCAGGGCTCCTGTGGAAGGCAACCAACTGACATGTCTCCCTCACATCAATGTTTCTCTATC